AAAAAAAAAAAAAGAAAAAAGAGATCACTGAGGAAAAGAATTCCCACCAGGCTCCACTCTGCACAAGTCCCCAAAGCCCCCCATTTCCCCACTACCCAAGAGGAGACCCTGCGGCCATCCCAGAGATGTCACAGCCTCAAAGATGTCAGGTCGGGCAGCTAGGGGTGGGTGCCCTGACCCCAGGCCTGGGTTAATGAGGCAGGAACAGAGGCCGGTCCACACACCTACAGGCTCTGCTAATCTCCACACAAAGGGGCCGGCAGGGCCTTTATCCTGGAACAAAGGACTGTGTGCTTCAGACCCTGGCCCTGGCCTCCCCCGACTCCATTCCCAACAAAGGCCCAGCCCCACACTCGGCCCAGGGGAAGGGGAGGGCGGTGACGGGCCAGAGCCAGCTCCCACCCAGCTACCTACAGGTGATGATGGGGCAGGGATGCGCCATGAGGGTGGAGAGGGAATCACCAAAGCCCCAAACCAGCTCCTAGTTCAATTCTTCCTGTGATCCTTGGAAGAAGGTACCGATGATGTGTCCCTTTTACAGAAGAGAAAACCAATGCCCAGACAAAGAAAAGACACTCCTTAAGGTAAAGTGGCTAGGACTTGGGGTGAGGTGGCAAGGGTGGCTCAGATTCATGTCTGACCCTATAATCAATTCCTTGCACTCTGACTGCAATATGCCCCTCTGAAAGGAAGGGATGAAAGAAAGCCTAGAAAACTGCCTAATTTAAGTCCCAACAGAGCTGTTGCCTCCTCCAGGAAGGCTTCCGTCAACCTCCAAGTCAAGGTAAGATGCATCAGGGGCCAGGGGCTTTTTCAGAGTGCCCTTCCTGTGTTCTGAGCTGGTTTCTTGTCTGTTTCACCTCGCTGGCTCACAGGAGGGACCCATTAATGTTTCTGACATACATTGCTCCCTTGGGAACCTGGTTTGGGGATCTGACTGGATGACACCACTCTCTGAAAGACAGTGTGACCCCCAGATTAGACCTGGGGCAGGAAAGGAAGGAAAGAGATGCCAGCTCCTTCCCCGTGACCTGGAGGGCAGTACGGCCACCATTGTGTTCCCTCGGCTGTGAAGCTGGAATGGGGCATGGTTACCCCAGGACCTCTGAAGGCCTCTAACAGCAACAGCGGGGCAGCTGGCGGGGCCCAGGTGGGGAAAGATCCAAACTCCACGGCCACCGGCTTGCGGTCTTCACTGGTTTCCTGGAGCCTAGGTCTGAGCTGAGGACGGCTGAGGACACCATGGGTGGACAAGGCAGCTGTGACCCCAGACCCCGGTGTCAAGCAAAGGGGCTGCAGGCAGCAGCCAATCACTGCAGGGCGGGAGGCTCCTCTGGCCGCAGCCCCTGGTCCCCTGAGGGGCCGGCTGCAGGGGGAGCGATCCCGGCCTCTGACAGGCAGACAAGCAGGCAGGCAGGCAGACAGACAGACAGACAGACAGATGCAGACATTCGCCGGGGAGAAAGGCGGGCGGGGCAGGACTCGGCCGGGCGGCGGTGGGCGGTGGGCGGTGGGCGGCCCCGAGCCTGAGGCCGTGCGGAGCCTGCTGGCGGGGATCAGACCGCGGGGCGGCCGGCGGGGGACTACAAAGACCGGGGACGGAGAGACGCGGAGGCCCGAGCAGGCAGAGGCAGAGGGAGGTTGCCAGGCGGCCTCGTACCCAGCCGGCTGCCCGAAGGTCCGTCCCGGGAGCGCGCCCTGCCCCCGCAGCCAGTCCTCCCTCGGGTCCGCCCGCCGCTGCCCGCCCGCCGCTGCCCGCCGGAGCAGGCCGGGGCTCCCGCCGCTGCCTCGCGCGGCCTCCCTCCTCCCTCTCCCTCACTTCCTTCTGCTCAGCCCGTGCCAAACCCATCTGGAACTGTTTAAACCCAAATATTCAGCCCCTCCCCCTCCAGCCAGATTCCTCCACAGTTTAAAACAAGCCCTGCGCTGGCTCCGGGAGGAGGGAGCGGAGGGAGGGGGCGGCGGGGAGGCGGCGGCGGGAGGGGGGAGCGAGGGAGGCAGGGAGGCTCTTTATTTCTGTTTAATTTCTGGGGAGCGAGAGTGGGAGGGAGGGGCTCGGCCCTTGGCCATCACTCAGCCTTGGCCATCGCTCAATCTCGGCACATTTTTCCCATTAATGAGGAGGGGACTTGGGTTTCGAGTCCTATGTGCCTGAGGAAGGGCTCCGGTCACTCCGGCGGGGAGGGGGCCGCGCGCTCTCGGTTTCCCCGCTTCTCAGGGGGAGAGGAGGAGCTTGCTGCCTTCAGCCTGCGCGGGCACAGGGGACAGAGCAGAGCCCTCCTCGGCGCTGAGGTGCCCGGTCCCAGCCTCCGGCAGGAGGTGAAGGGGGTGTGAGGGGGGCACAGAACTCATCTGTCCGTGGCATTGGGAGGAGGAGGCCCAGCCCACCTTCTCTGCGCTGTGTGTGCGGCGTGTGCATGTGTGTGCACGTGTGTGTGCGCGCGTGTGTGTGTGCGTGCGCTCGCGCGCGGGTGCATACACCCGCTGGGACGGGGGTTTGAGGGGCAGTGGGTAAAGGCAAAAGAGGAGCGAGTGAGCAAGCTCCCAACTCCCCACCTGCCTGCGGCCCCCCACCCCTGGCTGCCCCACCATGTGTCTGCAGGAGGCAGAAGAGAGAAGAGGCTGGCCCACTCCAGACGCTGGGCTCTGTCAGGCAGGAAACCACAACTGTCCCGCAAAGTCACCAGGGAGGTAGGCACCAGGCCCGGGGTCTTTCGCGGACTGGAGCTTTGATGCTCAGGAGGGAGGCAACACCTCTTTCAGGTTTCTGCAGGCCACGGAGAGCGGCCACGTGGCAGCAGCTGTGTGGCCCCCGCCCACGCACACACACACACAGATGCACGGGCAGCATCCAGTCCTGGGGGCTGAGCTCACTCCCCACTACCGGGCTAAAGAGCGACAAGTCAACACATATGGTGGACAAAAACACACAAAGCCACAGCCGCCCACAAACATACACCCAGCTTCACACAGAGCCACGGTCTGTCTTTCTCAGACACACGGATGCATATGGTACAAACAGATTAGTCTTCTTTAGACATTCATATACAGCGAATCTTTCTTACACAGAGATCTGGCTTGCCTTAGGCAGACCCATGCTTACAGCCTGCCTGTGTGCAGATTTCCTGAAACATATGTGCATACAGAGGGCACGCACACCCAACCCTGCAGTGTGTTCTCCTTACACACCCAATTACACATGCTATCACCAGCTGCAAGTCACACAGGCTTCAGTGTAAAGTGCAAACACAGACACCAGTTTCCCCGTATAGACTTGGTGACATGCGCTTACCCAGTCACACAAACTACAATCAGCTGCAAAGTCACAGATGCCCAATGACACTGGAAGATGCCACAGCCCCTGCAAAGGAGCATCCTGACATGGCCTAAGTATAAATACCTAGATTTGTGTAGCGCGTCAGAGGTGCAGCCTCCATGGGCCTGCAACACACACACACACACACACACACACACACACACACACACACCCTGTGAGCATGGTTCTCTTTATGGATGTCTGCCAGGGAGGTAGAGGGCAGTACCCCCATCCTGCCCCTAATACTCTGGTGCCTCTTGTTCAGGCAGGGCAGCCACACGGGCCACTCTCGCAAGGGAAGCAGAGGCGCTGGGGCAGCCTTCTCCAGAGGTACAGGGAAAGAGCCACAGCCCTGCTTCCTGCTGTCCTGGCTTGGGCAGGAGCTGTCAGTCAGGTCACGAGGCTGGGGTGGGGCAGGGGCATAGAGATGATTCTGGGTGTGGCTGGGTGCGGCCTCCCCAGGTATAGCCCCTGCCCAAATAACACGCCACTTCTCTGCCAGCACAATGGCACTGTCTCAAGGGCCTCTGAGCCCTTGGTAGAGGGTAGCTCTGTGAAGAGATCTGGCTTCAGAAGCTCTGGGCAAACTCTTCCGCTGCATGTCAAGGACCCTGAGCAAGACAGGAGTAGGGCATCATGGGCACCCTAGCCTGTGGGAGGGGCACCACCTTTGAGCCTGCCACCTGCCCCAGTGAAGGGCCAGGCCTCCTAGCACCCTGGGAGCAAGAGTGTTGTTAAGAACCAGGAAACAAACAGACAACAGAAAACAAAACACAAGCAGAAAAAGCAGGTAAAGACAGAAGCAGCCAGCCTTCAGCCCAAATTCCAGGCTGGGGACTTAGAGATGGAAGGAAAGGGAACGCACCAGGGTTGGGCGGGCAGAGTGGGCAGCGGGCAGGAGGGCAGGGGGCCAGGGTCTGCGCAGGGAGGAAAGTGCCATGCCACCCTTGTTGGACACCCTCCCCCTCTTTATGGAGTCCCTCGGCCACCAAGCTGAAGGATCTGGCTCCCCTCCCACGGGTCAGGATGTGTACACATGTGTGCCAGCCTACGCACACAGGGCAGTCAGCGTGGGGAGCAAGGGGTCTTGAGGGGAGCCTGCCACGGGCCTGGAGAAGATAATGTTGTGGGAAGCGTGGCTCACCCAGGGCCGCGGCCTCCTTTCCTGCCACAGCCCCTAGGCCCCATGTCTGGGATGGAGGGGAGGGGAACATCTCAGAACAGAGAACACATTTTGTTTTTCATTCTTACCCTCAGTTGATGGGGGTTTATAATTAAATAAACCTGAGAGGGAGGAAAAGGGAGAAGAAACCCAGGACGGGGAGCCCGAAGGCCTCAGCGATCATCTGCGCCCCCACCCCACTGGTGGCCCTGCCGGGAGCCAGAAGGACGGGTGGACAGCGAGCCCTTCCCTGAGCCCTTCCGCACTTCCCCAGATGCTAGCCACGCCGGGTCTGGCCAGGAGGCTGGGGGCAGAAGGCAAATGGAGCCCTGGCACCAGGGCTGGCTGTTGGGCAGGGGGCCTTGCCCACCCCATCACATGCCCAGCTGTACCCACTCTCCCTCCACCCCTCACCCCCACCAGCTGCCCAATCCCGACAAACCAGTTTGACTCAGCACAACAGGCAGAGCTACAATTTTCAAACTATGCAGGCCTGGTGATTCAGCCTCTTCATGCTGTTTAATTAGTGGAAGGCCGTGTGGCAGAGGCCTTGCCCACGGCAGCTTCGGCTTCAGCTCAGAGCTCACACGGAGGCCGCGGCGGCGGCTCTGGGTAAAGACAGGGCAGTGCCCAGCAAACTGGTTCCTCCGAGTACCCCTGGCCCCGGCAGCCGCTCTGAAGACCAGTGCCTGGGAGACAGGGAGGAGGCTTGGGGGTGCCACAGGCAACTCCAACAAGTGAGCAAGCCCCCCAAATCCCAGCCCGCTGTCCCATCTCAGTTCCCACATTCTCAGGGGTCACTCGTGTGGAGGAGGTGGGCTTCATGCTGCCTTGTTCCCCTAGGGACAGGTTCCACAGCAGTGACAGCTCAGCTACCATGGCTTGGCTGGAGGGGGATGTGTGGCACCTCCCCCTGCGATCTGGTAACTGTTTCTCTTTTCTCAAAAGGATCTCTTCCCAGCAGGGATCTCACCATCCTATCCCAGGTACAGGGGCGCTGGGGTCCAGACACCATTCCTCATCCCATTCCTAGTCTGCTCCCCACTGGACCCCACTCCCAGGCCTGCTGATGGCCCGCCCTCAGGGGAGAATAATCTTGGCTTTGGGGAACCGGGGAACGCTACTCAAAAGGTGAGTGGGTGACAAGATGGCCCGTTTCCCTGTGGCTGTGGGTAAAGCCCAGGGCAGTTTGCACAGGGGAAGGGGCAGTCAATCAGAAGGCAAAGGAGGGCGTGTTTTCAACCACGAGGACAAGCTGGGACACAGGCTCCGTCCGCATGGAAAACTGATGGCAGCCTTGGATGCAGAGTCTCGGCGACCCCCAAGTGTGCAGGGAGGGAAGACGAACCAGGCGCTAGTGGGTACACGAGAGGCAGAGGCAGCGCCATAGCTCAGGGACCCTGGGCCTAAGTAAATGTTATGCCCCAGACACAGAGCACCACCGGGCCAAGGGCAGACCAAATCCTGATGAGGCCAGATGGAAGGCTGGACCCCCACCTGGCAGGATGGAGGGGCTGAGGAGATCCTCAGTGCTATGGATGCCACAAATCCCTGCCCTGGTCACAGCCCAGGACCTGGAAGTCCACCCATCCACATGCCAAGCCCCAGAACAGGGGAGGGAGGGCAAGGACAGGCAGAAAACAGCTACCCACTGAGCCAGCTCTCCCCATTCCTTCCCTCCTCAGAGCTGCAGGGAGATGTGGGGGGAGACAGCCCACCCCCAGCCCCTGCACCAATCTTCCCTTTCATCTTTCCTCCCTCTAACCTCCCTCCCGCAGAAGGGCACACACTCAATTCACTCCTGAAGCTCCCTAGGAGCAGACCCCAGGGTAATAATAACAGCTAATCCTTGAATAACAATGCCTATGTGCTAAGCACTTTGCACACATTAACAATTCAGTTCTCAGAACAACCCTGCGAGGCTGGTGCCGTTCCCATCCTGTCTCCCAGTCAGGGGGGACCAGAGGGTGGCAGGTGCAAGGTGTGCGCTGGAGTCGGCACCTTGCATTTGTTCCCTCATTCTCCCATGCGCGAACTGAAGGCCCGAGGGTCTGAGGGACTGCAAACGTGAAGGAATTGGTGAAGCCACCCTGCTTCCCAGGGGCACCCCATGCTGGCCTGGCCTCCCAGCTGGGGAGCAGCCCTAGCTCCCACCTCACAGCAGAGGGGAGGTGGGCAGGTGGGGAATGAGGGGCTCTGCTGCCCCCTCTTCCTGGGGTGCCTAGCCCATCAGGACTCTGCCCCCTCTTCCTGGGGTGCCCAGCATGTCAGGACTCTGCCTCCTGGACAGCCCTCCAGCTGCTTGGTCTGGAGGCTTGGAAGCTTGGGCTCCCACTAGGACCTGCCTCAGAGGGTCCCTGATGAGGGTTGAAAGAGAGAGAGGAAGGGAAGGAGGGAGGGAGAAGTGAGCCTCCCCAGGTAGCCCCTGGGCTGACCCAAACCACACCCCTACTCCACTCTGCACTAGCTCCCACCACACCCACAACAAGGGCCTTGTGGCCGGACATACACAGGTGACACAGCCCCATCAACGCGTGAGTGTGTATGTACCAATGTCGCCTCGCCTGGGCTACGACACAGAGGCCCAGACACAGACCTGGCAACTTGAACAGGCTCCCCGGCTCACACCCTCCAGGCAATCAACAACAAAGCCCAGCCGGATTCTCACGCCCGCGATCCTATCACACACGTGTGGGTGAGTGTGTGTGCGTGTGGGCGAGACCGCGGTGTGTTGGGCTGAATTTGTTTGTGTCCACCCGTGGGACTGGACCTGTCAGCACAGTGGGCTGTAGATGAAGGGGTGGGGAATCATAGGAAGTCTTGCCCCTGGAGAACGAGAACACAGCAGAGGATGCCTTTCTCTCTCAACTGTGTTCCTGTTTCTTCCCAACCTTTAAGTTTACCGACTGTGAACAGAACAAGGCAAGTTCCCCCGAATTCGTGTTTTTGTTCCTAAACTAAGAAAGTGACTAGATCTGTTAAAGATGCCCCCAATAAGTACTGCCTTTATTCCAACTGCCCTCGAATTTCTGTGGCGTCCCTCACTCCACTTTATGGAAGGTTTTGACCCCCTCTCATTGAATGACTCCGAAATTCTTGGAAACGGGGTGTGAGTGTGTGTGGGCCTCCCTATTGTTTGTGGGGCCTCTGTCCGCGGCAGGCTTGTGTCAAGTGGCCTGCGTGTGAGCTCTCCTGCCAGGGCCAACAACGCAGGCTGTTCATCCAAGTACAATCATTTGGAAGTTGGAGCTGCCCCCCACAGCAGTCTTGGCAGGTTTCACAGAACCCATTGAGAAGCCGGGCTTTTTCCCACCGGCTACTGAGGAAGGTGCCCGGCTCTGGTGCTACCTGGGGCGAACCCCGCAACTTCAGGGGTTCGGTGAAGACTCGAGCACTCGGGCTGCCCTGCTAGAAGGCGAAGAGGGAGCCTCCGAAAAGGGTGCGGGGCGGCGCACACAACACCTCGGGTGGTAGCTGGCGCCCGGTAAACCATAAACAATAACAGGTCCCCGCCTGTCCGCCCCCGCATTGGGCCCCTGACAAAGCGGGGTGTTCGCACTCACACTCTCACAGTTAACTCCAACGGGCTCCTGATCAGCGTCCCCCAACCCGGGAGTCCCGCTTCGCCCCCACCCGCCACAGCCCCGCGGCCCTCGCCTGGCCTGGGGGGGAGTAGCCCACACGTCCTCGACTTCAGGGGGGTGCCGGGGGGCTCCGCTTCTCTGCCATGAGTGTCGGGGACTCCCACGAAAGCTCACGGCATGGCCAGGACTTTTGGGGACGCTCGTCCCGAGTCGAGCACCCCGCGATCCCCCGGCCCACCGGCTGCCTGCCTCCGAGCCAGCTCCAGCCTCCGAGCTCCCAGCGCCCGCTCCCGGGGCTGCCTCCCCACCCCATCCCTGGGCCCCGGAGCGGGTGGCGGAGCCTCCTCCGACGTGCGCTCAGCCCGGGTCGGACCCGCGCAGCCGGCCCGCAGCCCCGCGACCCCCGGCACGTCGTTCCGGGGCGCGCCCCCCGACGCCGCTCACCTTCCAGCGCCCGGCAGCCGGCGGGCAGCAGCAGCGGCAGCAGCAGCAGCGGAGGGAGCAGCGGCAGGAGCCCCGGCGGCGGCGGCGGCGGCGGCGGCGGCGGGCGGGCTCTGGCCATGGCCGGGTGGCTCTGGGAACCGAGCCGGGCCGCGCCGGGCCGGGCCGCGCCGCGCCGGCGGACTGCAGGCGCCCGAGAGAGGGTGCGCTCAGCGGGCTCCGGGGCAGGCTCGCGTCGGGCCCCGGGAGGTCCAGGCGAAGAGGGAGTGCAGTCCAGGCGGGCGGCTCCGGGGCCAGGCGGCGCGCCGAGCCCAGCGATCCGGGGATGCGGACAGCTCGGTCCCGCGGGAATCTGGACGGACCGGTCCAGGAGGATCCGGGGCGCCGGCCGGGGCGGGAGGGTGCAGGCGGTGGTGGTTCGGGGTGCACAGTAACCCGGCGGTCCGCCGCGGGCCCGACCGGGATCCGGGGCTTCGGGGGCGCGCGCCGTCCGGGGTCCGAGCCAGGATCTCGCTGCGCCGCTCGCGTACTCACTTCTGCGGTCCCCGGCGCTGGCGCGGCCGCTCTGGGCGAGAGGGGCGGGACGGCCTGCCTGCCCGTCAACGCGTAAGCCCCGCCCCCGGCGGCTGCCCGCCCACTCACAGACCGCCGGGCCCGCTGGTTCGGCCTCGGCAGCACTCAGCTGGCGTTCAGTTGGCGGCGTCTCCGCCAGGCCCACCCTCGGGGGTCTCCGGGGCCCGGAGTCGGGCGGGGCTAAGGAAAAGATGAATTAGATTGGGCGGAGCGAAGCTGTCCATCAGAGGGAGAACTCCGCCCCCTGCCGCCCATTGGCGATTAATAACCGAACCTGAGTCCAGGGAGGTGCCAACGAGCTAAGACGGAGCGGGGGCGCCCCCAAGTGGCCCGCGCCGGCCCTGCGACGCCCTCCCGTGGCCGTGGCTTAGCTCTACCGGGGGGACGCCCACCGCCACGCGCCCCGTGACCTGGGCCTGCTGCACCTCTCCATCCTTTCATTGGGCTGCGTGTTGAATCATTCGTTCAGCAGATCTTTGCGAGCGCCCACGACGTGTCAGGCTCCAGCACCTGCGGGTGCCGCCGCGGTGGACGAGACAGCGGAGCGGTGGAGGAAGGGGGACTAAGTCATCGCTGCAGCGTGTCAGGAGCGTTGCTGCAGAGGAGGAAGCGTTCCCCAGGGGCGGCACGGAGGGCGGCGGCCGCGGTCCGGCCCTGAGGAACTGCCGCTCAAGCCGAAATAGGAAGGATGAGTGGGGAGGGAAGGACGTGTGCTGGCGGGTGGGGACGAGCCAGCGCTCCGTGTGTGAAGACCCGGGGCAAGAGAAGCTCTGATTCACCAAGGAATCCGAAAGCAGCTCAGAGCAGCTCGAGTGTACGAGGGACTCACGACAAGGCCTTCCTGAGAGCTGGGGTTTGAAGTAGGGGCATGGCCTTGGTTGCTCTGGGGAGGGCGCATGGACAGAGGCCGGGTGGACGCAGGGAGCCCCGCGAGGGGGCTGTGCGGTGGGCGGGCAGGGGAAGATGCGGGTGGCTGTGAGGCTGGAGAGAAGCCGGCAGGTGTGAGGCGCATGTGAAAGGTGGCGTTCACGGGGGATGGTGATTGGTTGGTGGAGAGACGTGGGGGGTGAGGGCGTCGAGGAGAACACTAGGTTTCTGGTTTGGGCAAATGGACCTCTGCCCCGGTCATTCCACAAACATCGCAAAGTGCAAGCCACACGCTGAAACAATGGCTGGAACTTACTGGGTTATTTTATACAGCAGCATGTTACAGACAACACTGACATCCAGAGAGGCTTAGTGACTTTCTCAAGTCACATCCCTAAAAAGTGACAGAGGTGGGATTTGAACCCAGCTTTATATCTTTTAAAAACATTTCATCAGAGACCTACAGAGGACCTAGTGCTTGTTAAAAGTTCAGAATCCTAAGCCATCCTCTCCTACCTCAAATCTGGGAAGTCAGAACCTCTGGGGTTTGGGGCCCAGGATTCTGCACTTTGCACAAGCAGGTGATTCTGGTGCACCTGCGTTCTGAGAATCACCATCATCATGCAGCTCTCCCACCCTAACGGGGGAAAGTTCCCTCCATGGTCCCTCAGGGCCTTCACCAGCTACCCTGATTTCTGCAGGCAGGGAGTGAGGAGTTAGATTCTGAACGACCTCAGAAGCAAGACAGGCACACTTCATCCTCTGACCATGAAGTGCCAGCAAGTTCCATGAGAGTGAATGAGGTCATAAATCCAGGGCTCAAGGACATTCTCTGAAAGAGGTCAGTCCTGCTGATCAGAGACAGAGGCATGCGTGGGTACATGGGGCTCGGGTCCGAGACTGTCATGAGTCAGAGGCCTGGCTTCCAACCCCGCACCACCCCCAGCACTTCTGCCTCCCAGATCCGTCCTCAAGCCCTAGGGGCTTTCAGAAACATCACTCAGGGCTCCAGACCACCGAAGGGCTCTTGGAGATCATCTTGTCCAACTCCCATTGCAGAGCGGAGAAGCCTAAGTCTCAGAGATGGACCACCTTGCCCTGCAGTCCCCCATGCCCTGGAGTGCTGGCTGGGGTTGGGCACGGTGACATTTCGGCAGGTGGCCTGGCAGCAACACATCCCAGCTAAAGCTCCGCTCGTAGTAAGGCGGATCTGTGAGGCCGCACTTCTGTTTGCTCAGCATCTGTGCCAGGCAGGGCCTCACCTTGGACAAACACAGCCAGCCAGGCGGCAGGCACCGAGCTCCTTTGTTCTTGGGTTTGATAGCAGAGGCAGCAGGGCCAGCAGGTAACAGAGGGCCTGTCCTCACCGGATGTTGGCACTGTGGTTCCCACGGGAATCCTTCCTGATCAAGAAGCCGCCAGGCTGGAGAGGACTGGGATTCTGGCTGTAACAGCCCAGTGGACGAAGGTGACCACCTGGCAAAAGAGGGACTTGGAAGGGGGCAGTTGGAAGGATGAGGGCTGGAAGCCAGGCAAGATAAGGAGAGCTGGGTGCCTCATTTCTTTGGGGATAGGTGGGCAGAAGGTCCTACCCCTCCTGTTTCCAGGCTGGGGCGGTCTCCAGGAGCCCAGGGAGCAGGCTCTGCCCTTTGATTTTGGCATAAAAGGGAAACATCTAGACGGAGACTGAGGTGTCTGCTTCTGAGCCCATCATTCTGTGCCCATCTGAGTCTAGGAGGAAACTTGGTGCAGAAGTAAGAGCCTGGGCTTTGGCACCAGAGAGACCCAAGTCCAAATTTTGGCTCAGCCACTTACCAGCTCTGGGATTTCTGCTAAGAAGCTGAACACTTCTGAGTCTAAATCTCAGCATGAATGAAAGTGGAATGATAATCACGCCGTCCCTGCAGGGCGATTGTGATGCTCTGGCCAGGGAGCCAGGAGCACTGCAGGGGCCTGATGACCGGCCCTGTGATCATGAATACCCAGTGCTCGTATCCACGCTGGGAACACTGTCTGTTTGGGGACAGATAGAGGAACGTGTGTGAGTTGAATCAGTGCTCACCAATCTGGAGTTTCCAGATTCTCTTTTTAAAAAGATGATACAGTATCTGCCCCTGGGTTCGTGGGTTCGGGATAGTAGCAAAAAAGACAAAACTGGGAGGAAGAGCGCTTTGGGGCACGAGGCGAGGAGGGGATTGGTTTGATGAGTGCTTTGGGGGCCTCTGTTGAGGATTGGGGGAGGCTGCAGGAGAGAGTTGATGGTGACATGGCCAGGGCTGTGGCACAGTGGACCCACCGGTAGGGAGGGCAAAGATGTCCTTTGCTGGGAAGGGAGGGGAAAGACCTGGGAGGAGCAGGTTTTGCTGTATATGAAATGGGCGATGGGGGTGGGGACTGAGATTGTGCTGCTGGACTGGCTAATTTGGGGAGGCCTGTCAGACATCCAAACGGTCACACTGAGAGACAGCTGGTTTCTCACTGCTCCCACCCCCTCCACCGGCCCCTTGCTTGATCTCTAAGCAGCCTTAACTCTGGTCTGTCTCTTGGACAGTCTTTGCATTGGCTGTTCTCTCTGCCGGGATGCTGTTCCTCCAGCTCTTCACGGGAGGCCTCCTTCTCAGTGACCAGGTCTCATCCTAAACATTGAGTCATGGCTGCCTGGATCTCCTCCCCTCCCTCCCACACCACCACCGCCTGCCCCATTGCACTATTTCATTTTCCTTACACTTCTTTTTTTTTTCCGAGATAGAGTTTTGCTCTGTCGTCAGGCTGGAGTACCGTGGCGTGATCTTGGCTCACTACAACCTCCGCCTCCCAGGTTCAAGCAGTTCTCCTGCCTCAGCCTTCCAAGTAGCTGGGATTACAGGCACGCGCCACCATGCCCAGCTGATTTTTTGTACTTTTAGTAGAGATGGAGTTTCACCATGTTGACCAGGATGGTCTCGATCTCTTGACCTCGTGATCCACCCGCCTCGGCCTCCCAAAGTGCTGGGATTACAGGCATGAGCCACCACGGCCAGCCTATTTTCCTTATGCTTCTTAGCACTAGCTGAGATGATATCATTTAGTCATTTGCTCACATGTATATTGTCTCCCTTCTAAAATGGAAACTTCCTGAGGGCAGGAGTTGCTCTTATTTACCACTGAATCTCCAGTATGAGGACCAGTGCCCTACATGAAGGAGGCTCTCCATAACAATTTAGTAAATAATTAGTCATTGCAGTAAATACGTGGTGGTCATGCTTCCATTTCCTATTCCCAGGCGTGTGGCAGACATTCTAATAGATCAGGGACTCTCTCATCTACGTGATGCTCCCAACAGCCCTTGCCCATCTATCAGAGCTGGGCATGAAGTTAAATGGACCTGCCATCCCTGTGGGAGAGAAAGCTTCCATGCCGCTACCTGTGTGACCTTGCGTGAGTGTTTTAAAGCTCTTTGGTCCTTGATTTCCTTGTGTGATCACTCATATAAGATGTAGGGTAGACCTGCCACCCCCCTTTATGCCTGAGACCCCCGTCTAGAGCCCGGATGCCCCATCCCTCAGACAGGGGCTCAGTGCCTGTCTCTGAGTTACAGCCACTCCCGGGCCTTCCTTTCCTGCTTCCCTGTTTTCTCACCAGCCCCAGAAGACAAGGCTAGAAGAGACCTTTGATATCTGATCCAAAAGACCCCTATTTTCAGATGAGGAAACTGAGCTCAGAAGAAAAGTCAATGGAACCAGAAACTCAGCAAACACCGCTTGTCCACACCCAGCGTCTCAGCAGGTCCCCCAGCCCTCCACACCTCCTCTGAGTAATGGGGAGACGGGGGCTGCGGCTCCTAATACCTGGGCACATTCCCAAACCCCAGAAGGTCAGCAGCCTGGCTTCCCTCCAGGCCGCAGGCAGCTGGCCGGAGAAGGATGCCCAGTGGATCCCTGGCCTTTTTTCCCACTTCCGAGCTGCCCATTCAAAGGAGGTGAGAAAGGAGCAGGCCTCTTCCTCCACAGTGGCTTTCGGGAATTGCCTCAGGGCTTTTGGGCCAGGGCGAGGCTCTTGGCTGTTCCAAAGCCAATGACTGCCCTGTCGGCCGCCTCTCGCCTTCATCTTCTTCCGATCCAGCATG